ATCACAGAGTGCAAAGTGCAAGCAATGCGTGCTTTGTTTTCTGTGGTCCTATATTTTTCTTAAAAATGACAAGTCACTGAGTAGGATCAGTTGCAGATTTTGTTTGTGAACTCAATGATCATCGTGATTCTTATTGTGTTGAGGCATATCATTGACATTCAAGTGGGAGAATGTAAAACCTTGTTTGAATGACAATGAGATCACAACTGAACTACTTGTGTGGCGCATAACAGGTTATACTGGTTATGTGAAACACAGGAAGTTTGAGAGCCCTAATGCGATAAGAGTCATGGAGTTACATGTATTGCAGCTGTCCTAGTTTCGATCCTTATCTGATATACACTAGTATATCAAGTCATGATGGGACTAAAACTCTTAGAGATAGAGATCAACACTCCTTCTGTTAATAGGCTGGACTGAGTAGATCTCTATCGATGAATGACTGTATAAATAGTTGAAGTCCCTGCTTCCACACTAAGGCTTCCAAAAAGATCTAAAACCCTATTCACTTAGAGAGGAACATTAACGAGTGTTGGAAGTAGAAGACTTCATCTGTTGATCTCAGAATGGCGATACCTCCAGGTAAGTTGGTTTCTTGCACTGCACGGGATGGTCTTTCAGTTGCTGATGCGTATATATTTATGGTAATCCTAGTGTCGTGTTGGTTTGCTAGGCAGTTGCAGTTTGATTCTTTATATTACTGCTTACAGTAATTCCCACTTAAGTGGCAATATGACGATGTTTGATTTCGATATGCCCATTTTGTTGGGGAGTATCAGGGCTAGAATTGCGTTGTTAAATACCCAATCATGACAAAAGGTGGAGAAAGATTAGTTGACATACTCCGTAACATTATCACTTTGGAGGACCCGAATGGTAACTCGAGACATATTGCGAACTATAGCCACAAATGTTTTAAGGTGATCACATACTTATGATTTTTGTTTCATAGAGATATCTAAAAGTAGCGAAAAAATTCATCAATAACTTGTGGGAGATACATATAACCTTTATGGTGAGGACTATAACCGTTACACACACAAGGCTAGACCGACTCTCTAATTTGTGGGAGATATAATAAGGTTCAAGCTGGGTAAAACAGAGACACCCAAAGACTCAAAGATAAGAGTAAGTAGGGAGGGATAACCAAAAAGGATGGAATATGGGGAATTTCAATCTTTTTTTTTGGTCAATAGGAATTCCATTAATAAAGCAACATGGAGAAGAAAATACAGAAAGACTCCTTAAAAAAGGAGAAGATTGATAAGATGGATGACTGTGAGACCTTGCATGGATTAGTCTCTCACTAATATGGCGCTTTGTCCTCACATTCTCACAATTCTTATTCAAAGAATGTGAAACCTAGACTCAATATACTATTAACCCCACTCAATAGAGTGGCAAACCCTAGAACTTAGTATGCGTACAAGTAATGCTAGATAACCAATTTCTTAGACCAAATTTACAAGCCATGTGATATGTCATCAATAGAAAATAAGCATGTTAATCAACATTTAAGTAATAATTCAATCATCAACAATCACGTCATACAGTTACAAATTTAGTCTAAATAGTTAATCTCCCAGACATTACCCGTACGCATACACATGTTGTATTTGAATGAATTTGCAACACCATGTCATCCAAACGCAATTAACCAACTAATATTACGAAGGAATCGCATCCAAAGGGAAGCTAATAAGGTATAGATTATTGCTGATATAATTGGTTTAAGCTAAAGTTTTGGTAGTTTGTGGTTGTGGGGAAGAATCACTTTAGAAAGCACAAAGTTTGCATGGGGCATGTTCAAAAGGTAATAGGCTGGAACATCGAATGGAAAGGCCCAGTGAAGAAAGCACAAAGAACGAAAGGGAAAAAAGAACTGGAATAAAGAGTTCTAGCTAGCTCCAAGTTTTCTGCAAATAAAAGTCATAGAAAGGTAGGGTCGTCCAACGTACATGAAGTCCTTCTGATCCTTTTTATTGGTTTGAGGCTAAACTTACAATTAAACAGAAGATGATATTGATACAATTGTTCGTTTGAGGTTTGGAGGCTAACGGGCAAGACATTCAAAATATATATGTTGGATAGCATATCCCAAATCGGTCATATGACAAATAATGTACATAAATATATATATGAGTTTTTACTTTTAATATCACCAAAATCTTTTGTGATAAAACTCAATAACTAGTAATAGGTGATTAAGTTATGACAATATAGTGATATTGGTGGTGGATCATGCTGGGCCTGAAAAGTTAACATAGTATCAGATCCAGCTATTATATATCTCAACACGTTAATCAACACTTAAATAATAATTCAATCCTCAACAACCATATCATCGGATTATAAAATTTGGTCTACCTAGCATTACGTAAAATATTCCCCTTTGATTTCAACGACTGACTTATATGTGTTCTTACGTGAATGAGCAGCTTAGAAACCATCTTCCCATCACCTTCCTTCCATCCATAGAAAACGCCTCTCTACCATCATCGTATGCATCATCCATTGCAATTTTTCTCTCCCATATGTTGTAAATTATTAATCCTCTCTTCCCAGTCATCCATTCGAATACATACGAGATAAAATCTGAGATTAGTTTGACGTGGCCATGCAGAGTCCTGAGCATGTACCCACGCACGGTATCAGTTATCAAAGCAAACTACTTGTGTGTCAAGCCCAACAATTATACGTGCTTCCACATCTTTCAAATATGTTGTTTTGTACTTGAATCAAGACACACCACTAATATACTGAAGTCCCTTGGGAAGTAATTTCGCAATCTTCTTTTCTCTATGCACTCATCCTTTTGTTTTTATTAACCCCTAGATTGAATAAATCGACGAAAAATCAAAGGACAAATAAACAGAAAGTGTATATAGAAGGAGAAAACGTAAGTGAAAATCACTACCCATTTATTATCACTTTGGTCAAAAGCATTCTCCAATAAGCAGTCTTAGAGAATGAATTTTGCACAAATTACCATCGTTTTTTAACAAAGCAAGTCCCTTTCGATCTAGACCCTCATTGAGTATGACTTGTCACCTTATTACGAAACCCAAAAGGAAGTGGCTTACAATTGAGGTTATTCCACCCGTTGTGTGTTTTCTAGTTAAAGTCTAATCTCTTAAGTTCTCTCCAAATCCACTCCCTCTCCTCCCCTTCTCTCTCATTTTCCTTTTTTTTTTTCCTCTCTCTCTCAATAAACAAGTTAATACAAGATATTAACGTGACTAAACCGAGATCATTCAAATAGGAGGAGACTGAAGAGGAGGAAGATTTGGAGAGAGTGAACCCTACTCCTATTTTTGGACCACTTAAGGTTGGTAGTAAGACTCTTGTCGGTGCATTCCATATCACCCAAGAAAGATTATGATAACATCAAGGTATTAAAAAACGAACCAGTCCACATCCAAATCCAGAGGGACAATTTGATATCATTTGCTGCTGGGGCCTCTACTTTGCAAGAGTTGGGAGAATCCAATGGATATAGAGATTGAAGGGGTAATTAGGTTTAGGTATAGACAAAGAAAGCTTCAAGTTCTCTGAGGTTGATATCTTTGTCCTTAATCTTTTTTTTTTTTTTTTTTTTTTTGTTTTTTTTGTTCTGGGCATTCTTCATTTCTTGGGGACAAAGGAGATGTTGGACAAACCTGAATACCTGAATCATAACAATCCTTGGTGAGCTTGTTTAAGGCTTCACTTGTATTTTAAGGCAGTCAAATCCAATCCATGTATTATACAAATAAATAGGGGGATTTTATTTTTCTGGTGTTTCGGAGTATGTGATACTCCAGTTTCTTTTGACTGTTAAATCTTTGTTTAAAAATACGAAAAACAGTCATTTAGTACTACTGTTTAGTGATATTTCTCTTCATTGTTAAGTGAGATATCTTAAGTTCGTTTATTGTCAAAGGCGAATTTGAACCACATTATTGCTAGTCCATTATGAGATTTAACCCATTCTCTCACCTTTTAAAATCTTTAGTGTAAATATTATCATTTATTAAAAAAAAGAAAATTTACGGTTAAAAGTCTAAAATATACGGTATCAATGGAACATCATAAATTTTTTAGGAATAAGAGATTCTTATGGCAGTGTCATCATATGATTGAGACATTTTAGTATAAAAATAAAAGACATTAGTTTTTCTTTTGGTTAAAAAATGAAAAAGAGTTCGAGCATGGGTTTTGTAGTTCTCTAAACATAAGATTAGAGCTTTACGAAGAAGAAAAAAAAAGCATATGATTAGAGGTGTATTTGTTTATATTTGCTGGATACGTGGTGATAATAATTATTATTATTTTGTCAAGATAATTTCTCATTTTCTATGTTTTGCAAGTACTAGATAGATATATCGATCATTTCAAACGAGGAATGCGAGTTCTAGAAAAAAGGATTAGATGGAATAGTTTTTTCTTTTGGATCCGAAGGGGATTTACGTCCATAAGAAAAAGAAAGATTATATAAGAATATCACAAGATTCCAATTATATCTGTAATTAATAATTAATGACAAACTTCACAATAAATTAATAATAATGTGATTCAAATTCATTTTTGATAATAATTAAATCTATGATTTCTTACTTATCAATAAAAAAAAATAACACTAAACTACGATATTTTTATTTTTATTATTATTTATTCAATACAAAATTAAAAATAATTATTAATACGTAAATAAGGATAAAATAAGCATACGAAACCAGAAGAAAAATGAAAATTAATATTAATACCGTTATTAAACACAATGAACTGTTAAATTTCTGAGTCAGAACTCAGAACACATTGGGAGAGACGAGCCACATTTCTTTTCATTCTTCGAGGCCTTTATAGTTGTAGTTTTTTATTTTTTTATTTTGTTGTTTTCCAATAAACTAAATATACGCCGAAGTCGACGGTTGGGAAAATTACCTCCAACAAGTGTACGGTTCGAGACTGGTGGTTGCCCACCTTTCTTTTATATTTATGTATCCAAGTGGGAACACAGCTGACAGCTCACTGAGACAGTGGTCACTCGTACTAGGAGGAGGAGGAGGAGGAGGAGCCGGCGGCGCTGGAGGGCAATTTGGGAACTTAAAGCAGCAACAAAAGTCTTCAACTTCACCAACACCGCCATTGAAGAAGAAAGGACCCACTGGTTTGATTTGATACCAAAAGTCCCTCTGCAGTTCTTTTCAAACCGCTCCCGCCCTCCCCCCCAAACTCCCCATTCTCCACCCACCAACTCTCTCTCTCTCTCTCTCTCTCTCTCTCTCTCTCTCTCTCTCTATATATATATATATGTATCTGTTTGTTGAAAACCCAATTGTTGTTGTATCATTTTCTTCATCCTAACTCCAACTAATCAGATAATGAGATCAAGTTTCTAACAATATTACCACTTTCTTCAGTAACCCATATCTATTTGCATCTTTTTTTTTCCTTCCTTTTTTTCTCCCTTTCAATTTCATTCAATGGAAGCATCAGAGAATTGCAGTGTAAAGGTGGCTCTGCACATTAGACCGCTTATCGGCGATGAACGCCTTCAAGGTTGCAAGGAGTGTGTTGCTGTTACACACGGAAAGCCTCAGGTACTCTGAGTTTTGTTTCCATTGAGGAACTGGGTTGTTTTTTGAGATTGGAATTTTTGGTGTAGCTAAATTTGGATAGGTGGGTTTTGTCTGTCAAGTTAAAGATTAATGTGAGGTTTAGTTTTTGAGCATTATCAAATGAATTACTGGTGTTTCGAGATTGCGTCGCGGTTTGATCAATGGAGTTTTGGGGTTGATTCCCCTTCATCTGTTATGAGCATTGCTTGTACTTGTCTTTAGGGTCCTGTGAAATTACTGGTTGGTTCATTGGAACTAATTATTTTGGTTTTTCACTACATGAAATTTATTGCAGTAGTGTGTCATATGAATCTTAAACAGTGAGTGCTAGATTCTCATTTTTCCAGTGCTATATCATAGTCTAGTCTGTTAATTGAGCCGTCGTTCCCTATGTTTCCGGTTAGGCAAAACAATAGAAGTTGAAAAGTTTCCTTCTTGGCAATGCTGATTTAATAACCTTCTGATTAGGGTTCAACAAGCAGACATGAATTATTACCAACGCAAAATCAAACCCATTCCTCTTTCTCACACACACACATACATATCTCATTGCCTTCATACCATTAAAACAAAGTACTATCAAATTGCCTTCATACAATTAACACGAAGGACAATTGTAAACCAGCTTTAAACCAGACAAAGTCCTTTTTTTGCCTGGTTGGGTTGGCCCGAGACTCTTTGCATACTCACTTAACATGAGACCTACTTTAACACGTAGGTTCCCACAACAGATAAAACTCAAGAAATATCACCATGATAATATAGTCTATAGACTATATAGTAGTTTGGGGGTACGGGTATGATTTAAAATGTTCCCTGTATCTCATTTTGCTAAAGCCCAGCGAAAGTTATGCTCATGGTAAGTAAAACAGAAACCATTTGGCACACTTGTGTGAATTTAGTGGCTTTTCAATATTATGGTACTATTTTGTGTTTGCAACTTTTAGCTTGTTGTCGTAGTTGCTGAAAGTATGATCTTTGTTGACCATGGTGCAGATAAAAATTGGCCCACATTCTTTTACATTTGATCATGTCTATGGGAGCAGTGGAGCTCCATCATCTGCCATGTTTGAAGACTGCATTTCTCCACTTATTCATGGTTTATTCCAAGGATACAATGCTACGGTACTTGCTTACGGTCAGGTAATGTCTATCCTGTGAAAAATGGGCCTTGCGGTTGAATAAGATCTTGCACATGGTCTGCTGTTATTTTAACAGCCGAATTATACATATGCTGCAGACAGGATCCGGAAAGACGTATACCATGGGAACTGGCTCTGGAGATGGTTGCCAGACAGGGTTGATTCCTCAAGTTATGACTACATTGTTCAACAAGATTGAAATATTGAAGCATCAAACCGAATTCCAAGTGCAAGTTTCCTATATAGAGGTATATTCCTTTTGTTGTTCATATTCCTACTTTGTCATAGAAAAGGCCCTCAGTCATGTGGTTCCAGAAACTTTTCGTTGTTTGGAGAGTGGTCCTATCCAACTCAAAACAGTGAGATTATTGGCAAGTTTTTCTTTAATGGCAAGCTATCTATGTTGTTTTCATAGACCAATCTCTTGCCAATTTTTATTTCCATACTACGAGGATTAATATAGCGTTTAAATTTGCAGATTCTGAAGGAAGAAGTGAGGGACTTGTTGGATTCTGTATCTACAAATGGACATGCTGCAAAAGTTAATGCTTCTGGAAGGCATCCCATACAAATTCGTGAAACATCAAATGGAGCCATAACCTTAGCAGGATTAACTGAAGTTGCTGTTAGTTCATTACAAGAAATGGCCACTTGCCTGGATCAAGGATCATTAAACAGAGCAACGGGGAGTACAAATATGAACAGCCAATCTAGGTAAACCTTGAATTTCAAATTTCTACCCTCTGCGATGCAGATTTACTTTTTATTACTGAAATGATTAGCTTTTTCATGTATATATATTTTTGAGGATTCTGGCATCCATATTTCCTAAATCGGCGTTGCGAAGTACTGTTTAAGTTCTATTTATCATAGTGGTCGAAGATGTTGAATTGTTAAGTATCATTAATGGTGATTTTATTGAAAATTTATTTTACAATTTCATATAGAAAGCAGTATTACTTTTGAACTTTTAGTAGCACCTTGAAGACTTTTAGTATTGTGAAAGATCAAGACTTGTACAAGAAAATGAGAACTTCCTTTCTAGATAGCAGCCTGGGAATATATATATATGTAGCAGATTGATTATTGCATGACAGAATAGTCCTGTTGAATGTATATATGTACCATCTTGATTATTGCTTGATTTTTTTCTAGCTAAATGTTTCATTTGCAAAAATGTGTAGTGAGTAATTAATCCAAGTGCTCGAAAATCTTGTTACACCTACAGTTTAAGTGATTGCTCATAATTTAATGATATATTGTTCCCATTTGTATAGTCGATCGCATGCCATCTTTACAATAACATTAGAACAGATGCAAAAAATCCGTTCAGCTTTTCCTGGGAATGACACTCCAGATGAGGATATGGGTGAAGAGTATTTTTGCGCAAAACTCCATTTGGTAGATCTTGCTGGATCAGAGCGAGCTAAGAGGACAGGTTCTGGTGGACTCCGTCTAAAAGAAGGTCAGTAAAACTGTTTATGAATGCAATCGTACTGTACCTTTCAATCATCAACTACTGAGACTTGTAAACATTAACTTATGAATAGGTATACATATTAACAAGGGACTTCTTGCACTTGGTAATGTCATCAGTGCATTGGGGGATGAGAAAAAGCGGAAAGAGGGGGTGCACGTCCCTTACCGAGACAGTAAACTCACTCGACTCTTGCAGGTAAGATAAACATGAATAATCTGCCTGATATCATGTATAATGGTAACATTACTATTAAAATGTAGATGCTGATGCCAGCATGAAATGTTTTAATGTTATCAAACATGTGCATTTCCACACTTTTCAATGTTTCAATGTTCAAATCATAGATTCATAATTTCATTAGAGGATGATGTTTCTGTTTTTGCTTGGTTTATGTGTTGCTGTCTGATATGGTTCACTTGTGCATTTTGGCAGGATTCACTTGGTGGAAACAGCAAAACAGTTATGATAGGTAACATTACGAGCTTGTCTCTATGATTTGTGCTTTGGTTGAACGCCATTATACTTAAGTGACATTTATTCATACTTCCCTCGCTCAATTATTTCATTGAATTGACTACTTTTATCCTCCATTATTCCCCGCTGTTCCAATGTCCAATTAGGATTTTTTTTTTTGTTTGTTTGAAGACTTTAGATTTTTCCACTTGTTTACTTTCGAACAAGATTTACTTAGTCTGGAATTGGATTCCTCTTTGATTGAAGTTGCCTTTAATGCTTCTTACTTTTGGTAATTTTCTGTTCTTTGCAGCTTGCATCAGTCCTGCTGATATCAATGCCGAAGAAAGTCTTAACACTCTGAAATATGCAAATCGTGCTCGCAATATTCAGAACAAACCTATTGTAATTTTGTCAGATGACTCTCTTATGGTTTTCCATAATCCCTTTACGAAATGTTTTAATTAATGAGCACCGTTGATATCTGGTTTCATATTCCATGAATTACGACCAACTTGAAATGTTTTCGTTTTGGGGTACAGGTTAATAGAGATGTCATATCCAATGAGATGCAAAAGATGCAAGAGCAGCTAAAATTATTACAGGCAGAGCTATGTGCTCGGGGTGGAGCTCCATCAGACGAAGTGCTGGTATTTTGCTTAAAATAGATTTCATTGAGTTAAAGTAGTTGTCTATGCATCTTCTTATGGACGCACATTGAAATTGGTTGCATAGGTTCTTAAGGAAAGGATTGCCTGGCTTGAGGTTACCAATGACAATCTTTGCAGAGAACTTAATGGATATCGCAGCAGATGCGCTGTTGTGCAGCAGGGTGAAACAGAGAGCCAAGTATGTCAATGAATCTTTTTACAAGAGTTTACAATTTAATTGCTGGTGATCTTCATTTTGATAGTTTTCCATTTCTCAGGACCGTGTTTGTTTCACAAAAGTTGATGGACTTAAGAGGGGCTTCCAGAGTATGGGTTCATCTGATTATCAAATTGGGGAAATTACGTCAGGTGAACCACTCATTTGTTTCATGTTTTTTTTACCTTTTTAGAAGAAATGATGTAGTTTTTTTCGCTTTCTCTTCAGTAAGAATTTAGAGTAATGATGCTAACTGGTCACTTTGGTTGGGCTGAATTTATAAAATGCTTATTCTGGTGCACAACTCTTGTTTTGACTTGCAAGTTTGGTCCTTGACATTTTGGGCATAATTCCAAAATTTCCAGGTGAAGATTGTAAGGAAATCGATGAAGTAAAAAAAGAGTTGGAGCATCAACTTTTGCAAAATACAATGGACACAGAATTAAATGAGTTAAACAAGCGCTTGGAGCAAAAAGAGGTTTTACTTTCATTTATAGTTTCATATGTAAACTAGCCATGGGATTTAACTTGAATAAAAGTACTCATAATCCGAATAATATATACGCATATCTATGTTATCTTTATATGTTTATCAGACATGGAGAGTTGAAATAGACAATAGTCAAGTACATCTCAATGCATCTCAACCATTCATACCATTCATAACTGCTCGGATGATTGAACATATTCTATATTTGGTATATGATCAGATAAATTTTTGTTTATGGTATTTTCATTAATCAGTATAGCATATTTATGTTCCTATTTGTTTGATGATCTACAATCTGAAGATAATCCTACCTTTCTGTGATTGTAATCTTTCTAATATTCCGTATATCAGAAAAAGAACCACGAATATATTGCTCAGGAATTATTATCAAAAAAGAAAAGGGGAACTCTTGGGTTGCATTCTTCAATCTGATATATTTTTTTGTATGGCATTGTCTTATAGTGGAGCTGGCAGTCAGTGTTCCAATCAACCTTCATTAATGTTTCTGGCATGTTTCATCTACTGACAATGATCAATTTTTTATTGAACGGTAACTTTACTACTAGTCACTGCCCCATAATCATAGCTTCCACCTTTTTGCAGTCTGAGATGAGACTTTTTGGAGGGATTGACATTGCAGTTCTGAAGCAGCACTTTGGAAAGAAAATCATGGAAATTGAGGAAGAGAAAAGAATTGCGCAGGTCAAATGAAACATATGTGAATTTTGATTTTTTGAAATGGCTTATTCTCTATCTGATAGTTGAAATAATTACAGAAAGAGAGGGATGGCTTATTGGCTGAAGTTGAGAGCCTTGCTTCTAACTTGGACGGACAAGGGAAAAAAATGCAAGATGTGCATGCACAAAAATTAAAATCTCTTGAAACACAGGTGATGCTGTGAAATATTTAAAACGTCGTTCAGTTTGCCTGTGTTTGTGTTGATAAGTGAATGTATTCATTGTGAACTACAGATATTAGATCTGAAGAAAAAACAAGAAAACCAGGTCCAACTTTTAAAGGAGAAACAAAAAAGTGATGAAGCAGCAAAGCGGCTGCAAGCTGAAATTCAATATATCAAATCTCAGAAGGTTGGTTCCATTTTTCGTACATCAGGGAGTTCCATAAGCAGAACTATGAATTGTATAATATCTTATGCATTTTTTATCTTTGTTAACCAGTTGTTCATCATATGCAGGTTCAGTTGCAGCATAAAATAAAGCAAGAGGCAGAACAATTTCGACAATGGAAGGCCTCTCGCGAGAAGGAATTGTTACAGGTGCTTTACCTCCCATTAAAATATGCAATCTGGTCCACCTCTAATGCGCCTCAAAATTTAAGTGTGGTCGATTCCTGAAAAAGAATATGAAGAGTTATCAATAATCCGAAACTTTATAAATCTGTTGTGTCAGTTTGGTCTCCAATGGACTTCACCTATCATTTTGTATCTTATTACACCTTTTTAAAATGTTTCAAAGTGCTCTCAAACTTTGGGAATTGCGTGCTGTATGTAGTCCTCGTAATCATTTGGGTATCTTTGTAAATCCCATTTATTTCAGCTGTGCATGTAATTGCTTATTTTGTCATTCTTTCTACTATATAATTATTATTACTATTTAGTGTTGATTGTTTAACTGTGATTTTATCTCAAGCAGCTAAAGAAGGAGGGAAGGAAAAATGAGCATGAACGCATAAACTTGAAGCTCTGAATCAGCGCCAGAAAATGGTATATATTTGTATTTGACACATACTGGCAATTGAACTCTTTCACGTTGATAATAAACCCATACCAAATGCAGCCTATCATTTTTAACATTCTTGCAGGTTCTTCAAAGAAAGACAGAAGAGGCAGCAACTTCTACCAAGCGGCTTAAGGAATTGTTGGAAACTCGCAAATCTTCTGTACGTGACAACTCAGGTAAGTTTTATTTTTTATTTTTGTTTGAACGTAGCTATCAGTTGACCCCAATAACTCAGATAACCTCATTTCCTAATCTAGTGTTTTCATCTTCAGTTAACCCCAATGGACATACACCAACTAGCCAGGTAAAGATCTTCACTTCACTTATAATGGTTCAATATTTAGGATGGCTGGTTGGATTGTATTACTCGAGTAGACCGTTACACTTGAAATTAATGACCTTAATATCATCTCTGCTATAAGTTTACATTGAAACCATTTTAAAACGAATTGCATCTCTAGGGCAATGAAGGATCTTTACAACGGTGGCTTGATCATGAGCTGGAAGTCATAGTGCAAGTGTATGAAGTTCGTTTGGAATATGAGAAGCAAAAGAAATTGTATGTACTATTGTATTTTATTTTATTTTTTAACTTTATTTATTTTGCAAGGAATTTGCTTATAGCCTTATACTAGGATTAATGAAAGTTATAATTTAGACGAGCTGCACTGGAAAAAGAGTTGGCCTTATTCAAGCAAGCAGATCAGCTTTCTGGTACTCAAAGAGGAAAGAGCGGACATTCCAGGTATGTCTACTAAAACTTTCATGTATGCATATACATGCATTATTGATATGCAATACAATAGTCTTCTCCATTTGACATTCTTTTTCCCAACCAATCAGAGTGCTGTCCATGTCACTGGGTGCAAGAATGGCAAGAATAGCTTCACTTGAGAACATGCTGAGCATGTCTTCAAATGCTCTCGTGGTGATGGCTTCACAGCTGTCAGAGGCAGAAGAAAGGGAGCAGAGCTTAAGCGGTCGTGGACGTTGGAATCAGTTGCGTACAATGGGCGACGCTAAGAACTTGCTTCAACATATTTTTAATGGTGCTGCAGAAGCAAGGTGATTATACAATTACATTGAATCTGATGAATTAACTGTTGAAGCTATCTTGCCTTGGTGAGGATTACTTTGTTCAAATTAGGGATATGCATTTCATGAAATTTACTTTCCCTTTAACTTATGCTCTGGTGATGGGTGAAAAATAATTGGCGAAACCTTTTACTTGTGTCTTCTTTTAAGTTCCACGGTTTTGATTAATGACTCTGATTGATAGTGTCAGTTCTTTTTCATTTAGTGTAATTTTGTTCGAGCAAATATTACCTCTTCGCAACGTCAAAGAAAAATAATGAAGAATGTTCAGGAATTGTAATTAAAAGAAATTTTAATATATGTATCTGTGTCAACAGGTGCCAGTTGTGGGAGAAGAACATGGAAATTAAGGACATGCAAGACCAGCTGAATGAGCTTGTCACTCTACTTCGTAAAAGTGAGGTTCAGAGAATGGAGCTGGTGAAGGAACAAAAAGTGATGGAAGAAGCTGTTGCTGTTGCGTTGAGTACACCAGCTTCGGTGAGACTGCCAGCTAAACCTCTCGCGGCTGTCAAAATTTCTTATTTTTACTTGGTCTTATCCTTTGATTGGATAATCAATTATGAAACTGTAGTTTATATAAACCAACATGCAGATCTGCCAAGATTTAAATGGGAATTTTTTATTTTTATAAAATCCATATTATTCTTCATTGTTCTCACTACTACTTAAATGGGAATCAACAGGCGAATTCACGCACTCCATTAAAGCACTTAATGGATGATATTAGTGGTCCTTTGTCTCCAAAGTCACTCCCAGCACCCAAGCAGCTCAAGTTCACAACTGGAATAGTTAATGGGTTGGTTCAAGATTCGGCGGCATTTCCTGGACGAGACACAAAAGGTAATTATTTTTCTTTTATGCTGTTTTCAGTGTCGTAATTCTCCTCCTTGACTAAGAAAATAGTCATCATTCTGGGTGCAGATGGTACCAATGGGACAATTCTCTATGAAGAAACTAGCAACGGTGGGGCATGGCGGTAAGCTTTGGAGGTGGAAGAGAAGTCATCATCAGTGGCTACTACAGTTTAAATGGAAGTGGCAGAAGCCTTGGAGACTCTCAGAATGGATCAAGCATAGCGATGAGACAATAATTAGGCCGAGGCCTCGCCCACAAACTCAGATAGATATGATGTGAATATCAGCTTCGTTTTATGTTGTATACACATCTTGACTGCCATATACGATTCAAAATATGGCTTGGTGAAAACAACTGTAACTGCAGGTAATCATTCCCCTGTTGTTTCCAATACAGGCAACCGCCAACTTTGGTATAAAAGAGAAGCGCGATATATTCATGCATCAAATATACACATGTTTTTGTTGCCTGCGTGCAGGATGCAGATGTGTTGTAAATTGGCAGGACGAGAATCGTAGGTTTGACAGTCTTTTGGCCAAAACATGGTTGCATCACAAACGACTTCGTCATGCCAGCAGTCTCAGGAAACTTGCATAAGACAGCGAAAATTGGACTGCTGTTTATGTGGTGAAGGAAGACACGTTCGTGCAAGAAATAGGTGGTTTTATGATGCTAACATCTGATGCTGATTTGTACTTCGTACATTGTTACATCGTTTCTTTAGTTACACACAGAAGAGTAGAACATAGTAGAATTTCTGCTGCCGTGTTTTGCGTGTATATATCACCTCCCCCGAACTCCGGTGAGTTTATGTAGTCGTACAACGTTAGTTTGGGAGAATTTTGGCTTTGACATGTCATATTTCTCGTTGGAGTGTTTTAACGAGTTTGTACCTACTTTGTTCATTTTAGGGAATTGATTTTTTTTTTTTTTTTTCAAAAAATAGATTTATTAAATTAAATGTTAGATTAAGGAGCTAGCGGGGTTCAAACCCATGTCGTGATGCAAGGGCCTGGGCAACACTCTTTTCCACCACAGTGGTAGAGGGTCATTTGCTTAGGGAATCGATTTCAACACACTGTTTTTGTTCACATGCACACTTTATATTTATTTCTGACCTTTAGATCGAATAAAGTAATCAACAAACAAAAACAAATAGTGCAAAAATCATTTTCCGTCATTTTATCGACAAATTGTTAGGGTAATAGGTTTTAGTCATTTTACTTTTTTCAATTAGTTTCAAGTAACGTCATTGTGTAGTATAACCAATTCACGTGTTCAGTTGGTCCTTGCCTTTACGATGATCATGTAAAGTTCTGCAACCAGAGATTGGAATGGAAATATGTGGTAATAAAACATCCTTATGCCTGAACCAAACCCACACAATTTTCGAAAAAAACTTAAAAGTGCTACCAGAATGTCAAAGTGACAATATCTTAAACTTATCATGTGTCGCCGTGTATTTTAACTTGCTCACAACGTGATTGGTATGAAATATTGCCACCTTACCTGTCTTATTTGCATGTGAGTTTTTACTAGGAATGGCAATCCAACCCAGTTAAATCCAACAATCGTGGAAACCCACGTGAATGGAGTGAATTTGGGATGAAAATTTAGATATTTTTTGAATATGGAGAAAAAATCGTGAATATTATTCAGTTAAAGTTTGGAATTGTATATTATATATATATATATCTCACGGAAGTCCATTGTGAAGAGGGGATGATATGAGAAAGCAGTTGGCAATTTGTCTTTCTTTTGTTTATTTGCCTGGAAGTTGACAAGTTGTCAACATCCAAGCTGGTAAATCAAATCTGTTTATTGTTACGTTTTCATAATTGAGCATCATTTGTATGAAATTATTATGGGATACTGCAATATCGCTATGTGATATAATCAATTCACGTGTTCAGTTTATCGTTAAATTGCTTTTTATGATTATCAAAATAAAAAAAATATGGGTATATATCATCCATGCTTGCACCAAAAACCACACAATTCCGAAAGAAATTCACATGCAACAGGTCAAGGTGACAATATTCCAAACTTATCACCACCTTGCCATCATTGTACCAAAAACTCTGGCAAAACAAGAAAGAAAGAATGCTTAAAATCATCATTATATATCTTCCATTACCAGATTGCGCTCGTGTGGATGCAATTACAAGAATTCCTCAAGCTTTGCCCTATAAATCCGTTCTTCAACCTCATACCCTTGATTAGAATTGTTTCAACCTCCTCCCTTGATTTACTTCTTTGAACCCAAAATTGTAGTCTCCAGACTCTACTACTTCGAAAATCCGACGTCTGCGTTATCATCAGTCATCACACTCTCTTTAATCTCCTGTATCATCTTCAACACTTGCCACATTGCCGGCCTCTGTTCCGGGGACGTCAAACTACAAATACAAGCGACCTCGGTGAGCATTCCCAGTTGATTGTCATCCCCAACATCGTCATCCCTCATTACTCTGACCCAATCAGGCACGTCCGTGGGCATGAGAAGCGGATGTTGGGACGGATGTTTACCCGTCAAGAGCTCAAGCAATAAGATGCCAAAGGCATAGACATCGGATTTGGACGTGGCTCGCCTACTGGACTTGCGAATCTCGGGGGCTTTATAGCCTGCGGAATCAGGATCTTCATTTGCAGAAGTGTCCGCAAAGAAGGCAAGGCCGTAGTCCGTGAGACAGGCCTCGAAGTCGCCTCCAAGGAGAACATTGGAGGACTTGAGATTGCCATGGATTAGGGACGACGATTGGTGAATATAAGCAAGGCCTTGAGCTACATCTTCAGCTATCTTCAAGCATGATGTCCAATGCAGAGGTCTTGCTCTAGTTGATTTCGAACCTATTTGTTCACGCATAATTGCAAATTGTTAGCAACAGTTTTTATAAACAACTCGCTAAAAACACAAGATCTAATGTTTATAAACCCTACACCTTAAACCCTCAATCACTCCCCTTTCATAGGCAATCACTCGCAAATGGCTTTTTAGATAACTCGACTATTCTTGCATGTGCAAATTTTAAAATTAAAATATTAAAACTAAAACGTCCAAATTTACAGCTCTTCTGTAGCCGAGGGACGAAATAATATCCAACTAGATCCATACAAGCGTTTCAATTATTTTACCATGAAATAATTGATCATGGTACAAAAGGGGGCCAACCCGTGATTGTCGGTATTAAAACATACGTGATCGCACCTAAATTTGACTGAAAAGCATAACTGATAACCCAGTCATCTCACGCACAACCCAACACCACTAAACCCAAACCCATAATATTCTCACACGTGACAATGCCAAAGACCCCAGCCCGCCCGCTCTCAAATGCGACGCGACGCACGGATGTATCGTCGACGTCCTATTTGTTTTAAAAATGTGTCCTTTAATATTAATGCTACAATGTTTAGTTGTGGCTTAGTAGAGATTTTAAAGTAACGTTTCGTGCTAGTAATATTAAAAATATGACACGGACATTTTAATAAACATAAGCATGCAATAGTTTCAAGCGTTTTTTACCGCACTCACCGTGAATGAGATTGAATAGACTGCCGTTGGGTTGGTAATCATAGATCACCAGCCGCTTCTCCCTTTGCCTGAAAATAAGCCCTCACCGGAACCAGATACGGATGCCGCAACCCGCCCATAACGTCCATATGCTCCTCAAACGCTTCTCCGCTTGTAATCGCCGTCTTGCCGGCGTCCAATCTCTTCACCGTCACAATCAGCTGGTTGTCCAGCACCGCCTTGTACGTAGTCCCAATGCTACCCCTACCGAGCAACTCCGCCGAGGCTCTCATCAGCTGCTCCAGACTGTACAGCTGAGCCTCCCCGTAGCAAAAAATCAAGTTCCCGCTCCTCGGAATCGCTCTAGGAGGAGCTGCTTGTTCAACCGTCTTTACCCTGTCGAAAACTGCACCACCTCCCTCTGTTCTGGGATCTGTGCTTCGATGGTTCTGAAATTGTTTGGATTAGAGTGAATGCGATTGGCTGGTGAGGTAATTGGCGACGGTTTTGTGTCTGTGTAAGTGATGGTTTTGTTATGGTTTCGAGCCACCGCAAAGAGGCATAAGACGGCGGCGACGAGGAGAGAAACCCCGATTGCGACGCCGAGAATGACGCCGGTTTTCTTGTGGTTTTTCGGAGAAGGCGGAGACAGAACAACTCCCTGAGACTCTGCAGTGCTCTCCCCCAGCGGCTCCGACGCCGGAGAGGTTGAACTGGCATTGCGAGATTCGAAGAATGGGGCGTGCGAGCTGCACGCCCGGTTCACAATCTCGCCGCAGAGCCCCGGGTTGAGCTGAAACGACGACGCGTCGAACCGGGACAGGGAAGGGGGAACCGGGCCGGTCAGGTTGTTCAAGGAGACGTTGAAGATTAAAAGGAAGGACTGGTTCAGACCCGGGAGGGAGCCGTTGAAGCGGTTCGACTGGAGCTGGAGCGAGGTGAGCCGGTCCAGGCCAGAGAGGTTGTCAGGAATGGGACCGAAGAAGTCGTTGAAGGAGAGATCGAGGACGGTGAGGCGGTGGAGGGCGAGGATGGAGGGGGGGAAGGAGCCGGAGAAGGAGTTGCGGTTGAGGAAGAGGGACTTGAGGTTCTGGAGAGGGGAGAGGTCGGGGATGGGGCCGGAGAGGGAGTTGTTGTGGAGGCTGAGGACGCGGAGCTGGTCGAGGCGGGAGAGGGTGTCGGGAGGGAAGGAGCCACGGAGGGAGAAGACTGGAGGACGAAGCGGACGACGCGGCCCTGGGAGCACTTGACGCCCTGCCATTGGCAGTAGTCGAAGCGCTCGTTGAGGGTGTAGAGGAGCTTGTTGTTGAGGTCGGCTTGGGATTTGAAGGACAGGAGGGCGACGGCGTCGGAGGATGGGAGGAGGAGGTTTGGAGGCGGCGGTGGGAATGGAAGGGCAGCGGAGGGGTGGACGGCGATGGCGAGGAGGAGGAGGAGGAAGGGAATCATGGTGGGTGGTGGGTCATGGAAAGTAGAGGGAGGAAGTGAGGTGGTTTTGTTGGGTTCGTTGCGCTTAAAGTGTGAAGCAGCTGGGTGTTTGTCTGGTAGTGGGAGTCTGTGACAGTGAGAGGAGCTGGGAGGGGGGTCACGTGAAAGTGGGGGACGGGGAAAAATTGTTGGTGTTGGACCGTTGGTGCTGAGCTCAGTGGGTAACTCTTCTCTAGGCTTCCACTATCTTCCAGGCTTTGCCCCTAGTTTGGCGCGTGATTCACATTATTGCTTCATCGTAAAAAAGTGAAATTTTAGCTACTTTCTCGTTGAAATTATTTAATAATATTTCTCTCTACTTAGAAATAAATATTATTTTTAATTTTTATAGATGATTTGTTTGATATTCTACATTACGTTAGATGACCACTTTCATTTGTTTGGTGGTAATAATTGAGTTTAGTTTTCAAATTTTAGCTCCATTAAAGACACACATTACCCTCAGTCAACTCAACAGTGTCAGCTAGAGTCCAAGTCATCAACACAGTCAGCAAATACTTGGCTTTTAAGTTTTCTTATTGTAACTGATTTGTAACTAATTGTAGATTAAGTTTAATTAGTTACATTAGTTGATTATTAGCTGCTGTGTATAAATACCCCTATGTAAATCAGTTTTTAATAAATGAGAAATATATTTCTAATATACATTACGTTAGATGACCATTTTAAAGCTAGTCTAAGTAGTATGAGTGAGTAGGATAATGAGTTAGGATTAAGATATATTCTTAGTTCGATTCTCTGTAATGCAAACAAAAGTAAGTAAATAACTCAAAGGAGAGTTTGAAAATTTAACCTAAGATAATTAGATGTTAGATACCTTAATCATTGCCTAATTCATTGCTAAGCTTTCATTTTCATCCAACGAACCAAAGTTGGTAGGCAAGAGGTGGAGGTTGCACTGCACGCGACCTAAGGTGAAAACCATTTTCGATGCTCACAACTTGTCGTATTACTATAGACTGTAGCTGGAGTGGACTGGAAAACAGTATTTGACCTTTGAGTCTTAATGTCGTTAGTAAGTCGAGACTATTTCCGTCCTCGCAATTTTTAATGTTTTTGTGGCTTTTTTTTGTTGTTTATGTTATTGTCCGGTGCATTTTTGTTTTAAACAATTTGTATGACAATTTACGAGCTAATTATTCATACGACGGAGCATTGAGATCTAATTGCTATAAAAATAAATATATTAAGTATTTAATGATACGGAGCATTGTAGTCGCTACCCTATTATCGAGGATGCAAAGGCTTTGCTGGATTGGATCATTGGAGATGTCATAACCCATATCCGCCGCCAAGCAAATGAAGCTGCGCACCGCCGTTCCACGCACATCACTTCTTTATAATGGTTTTCATTTTTGGTTTGAAGAAACTCCTCATCTCTTAGCAGATCTTTTGCTTGAGGAGGGTCTCTCTTTTGTGTAACTGGTCTCTTTTATGTGTTTCTCTCTTCGACCTTTTGGTCTTTCAATGACACTGTGCCGCTGATTTTCAAAAAACATTATATGTTGTATCTTGTTTTTGACAAGTTTATGACTTCAGATTTTGCATCGTAAGTGTTTCAAGAGATAAAGGGAGAGAAAGAGCAAGATGAGGTACCATAGAGAATAGGAAGTGGAACATTGCAGTGGGGTGGTTGGCCGCGAAGGCCGATGGGAGGCTAGGTATTAAGTGTTTTTAAAGGATCAAATTGAGTAAAAAAATTTCTTGGTTGATTTAGAATTCTAATGTGTTTGAGCTATATCACTCGTCTTCTAAGACCTATTCCAACTCTTAAAGTAAACCTCAAAATTTAGGTTATAACCGACCCCAACTTGCTCTAACCCTTGAGCCAAATATGAATTTTAACCAAAAACTCATTTTTGGAGCAAATTTAGCCCAAAATATAACCCTGGGTTAGTAAGCTGGCCCATTTGTGCGAGTGGACTCGCCCAATAGAAGCGCAGACGTTCAGGCTTAACGCAATGCACACATCAACGCACCAAGCTCTTCAAGTCTTCGAAACCTTGGGACCCCACCCACGTGGGCTTGTCGACCAGAATATTGAGCCTAACAGCTCTCTTCTTTGATCCAATCATGCTGGAGCACTGGACTGTTGGTTGATCCAACGGTTCAAAATCAAATGTATTTTTTTTTTATTTTATATTTATAAATTCATTAAATCCAACGGATAAGATTTAATGTGATCAAATCTAACATTAAAAAAAAAAAATTCTAACGGCTCAAAATTCAATCCAACAACCAAAATTATTTCATGGTGTTATTTAGTGATTTTTTTTTAATAATTATCAGAATCTCAATATTTTTTGGTGTTCATAAAATTAAATTAAGATAGTCTAGATAATTTTTTTTTTTTTTTAAAAGTTACTCTAAAAAAATTTATCACATCCCCACCCGGGGCGGATCACTTCCCGAGCCCGCTTCACCACCGTAGCACGATATTGTCAGCTTTGGGCTGACCATTCCCTCACGGTTTTGTTTTTGGAAACTCACGAGCAACTTCCCAGTGGATCACCCATCATGGGATTGCTCTAGCCCCCTTCTCGCTTAACTTCGAAGTTCCGATGGAACCCGAAGCCAGTGAGCTCCCAAAAGGCCTCGTGCTAGGTAGGAATGGGAATATACATTTAAGGATCACTCCCTTTGGCGATGTGGGATGTTACAATCCATCCCCTTTAGGGGCTCGACGTCCTCGTCGGCACATACGCTGTCAGGGTTAGGCTATGATACCAAATTATCACATCCCGGCCCAGGACGGATCACTTCCCCCACCCTGGTCGGATCACTTCCCCGGCCCGCTCCACCACCGTAGTACGATATTGTCCGCTTTGGGCTTACCATTCCCTCACGGTTTTGTTTTTGGGAACTCACGAGCAACTTCCCAGTGGGTCACCCTGATAGGAGCATATTTATGCGCCTTAGTTAGCTAGTTCTTATGCATTTTTGTTATGTTTTATTCGTTAAAGTAGTCTTTTAAGCTACTTTCATGTGTTTTCAGGTTTAAAGGACATATTACATGAAATGATGCAATTTGGAGCTTTTGGAGCAAAACTGAGCTGGAATGTGGTGTATGCAAATAGAGCACGAGGAATGGACGTCCAAAACAATGCATCACACAATCTTCCTCCTAAGCCGTGACTCCACACCACTTCCCATCAATCCGTCCACACCATCCATACAACCCTAATTCCACTAACCCTAAATAAAATATTCAGCCATGCTCCCATTATTCAACCATTAAGCCATTCAATCCATCATTCATCATTCTCTCCAATTTCTCTTTGTCCTTTAGCCGTGACTAACCCCCCCCCCCCCATTAATCATTAACCCTTTATTTCATTCCAGCCCCAAATCCCACTTTCCTTTTAATCCATTCTTTCCCATTATTAAAACCCTAATAAACCATATACTTTAGGTCGTGCATTTTCCATTAAGCCGAATACATTATTCAGCCATATTGGCTCATCAATTCCACCCAAAACCGAGCACCATATTCCATTCCTTCCCATTAATATATCCACACCATTCCATTCATCATTTACCCTAAATGATCAGCCGCACCATCCCCTAATTCCCTTTAATCCATAGCCATCCATTTAATCCACCCAAAACCGTGCAAACCATCTCCCATTCATAAATTATTCAGCCCATTATCCCATTTACATCCTCTAATTCGTGCATTCCCATTAGCCATTAACCCGAATATTCTAATCCATCCACCATTCCACCCACACCACTTCCCATTATCCAATTCATTCGTGCATTGCCATTAACCTTAAACACTAACCAATTCGTGCATTACATATATCATTCCCCATCAGCCGTGCTTTGTTACACACCATATTCTCTCCATTATTCCAGTTACCATACCACCAATCCTCCCTAAATCCATCCCCAACCCAAAATAACATCCAAATCATCCATTTAACCTCACTGCCGCAGCAAGGAGAAGAGGAAAGAGGACTTAGACGCGCAGAAATTCAAGTAGATTCGTTGGGCGTTCTAGGTGTAATCCATCCTTTGTTCTTTATGTTTAAATTCAATTTTATTTTTCTTGTTGCGAACATGAGAGGCTAAATCCCCCTAGTTAGCTAGGGGGTGATTCGAAATATATGTTTATACTTGCAATATGATTTGATTAATTTTAATTACGTTTCATAAGTTGTGAATTCAATTTGTTTAACTATTTGATTGATATCCTATTTATGTATGTTTATTAAGAATGAACGCTTAATTTTCATGCATGAATTTGACGCTAGAATATAAGTGAGTTTCACGTAATAGTTATGAACTTATATTCACAAGTAGTGGAGGTTGCTTATAAACAATCGCGTTAAACAAATTCTTGGCATAAGTTTCATGCAATCATAGTAACGAATGCCTCGTCAACACTTATAGTTTTCAATGTGCTTAATGATTCTTGCTTGTATCTCTATTATGCAATTCATGTAGGGAACTTGTGAGGAATGCTTTGGGTTGTCGTATGCAATCATCCAATTCATTAACTTAAGGAAAACTTGACGGTTAATTAAAGCGGACCTAATTAACCCGGGGCGTTGAGAATTCATGGTTTATTGAAATACAATTAGAAATCTTTTTATTATGCAAGTGTAACATGTGTGGAGATGAACCCCTTAGCCTTCATAGCATTCATTCCATTTCATCAATTTCATATTTACATTCTATCTAGTTTATTTACTTGTTTCGTTATTTCAATTTTTGTCCAAATCCAATCCCCCTTTATTTTGTTTAAGTCTTAGTCTTTCTTACTTTTAGTTTTGTATTCTTCGCATTAATTAGTGTTTTAAACTTGTTTTTACGTTTTTGAGTCAAAATCCAAGTGATTAACAATCCCTCCTAATCCCCGGTCTAGAACGATCCCTACTTATACACTTCACTACAATTGACAAAAAGAGGGTTTAATTTGTGTGCGCATAAAACTCGCATCACACCCATCATGGATT